ACATAGTCACGGTTGAACAATAATCATTCCCATTAGTTTCTAATCTTGAAACAAGAGTTTACAATAGCCTCTTCGGAATGGACATCTTGAACACATACTCTATATGATCATGGATTCTCGATGGCTACTTATCGTCGCGTTTTGGGTCACGTGCTTCCATCTCTCCGCAAGCCGCTTTACTCAAAGGCCGCTTCCTTACATGCCGCGGGCCAACAACCAGTGACACGCCATAACATCATGCAAACACCATACCCTGCTCCGCGTCTGCCTGCAGGCCAACTGTTTTTTCCTACATGAATGGGTAACAAAGTTTCAATGACAAATGCATCTCCTGTTGCCCGCGCAGGACGACCAGTCTATTCTGATGATTCTCTGTTAGACAAGGAAAATCGAGACCTCATCGTGCTGAGAATCAATAATTTATGGAGAGCTAAAGATTTCCACCGACAAAAACGCAAGAGCATCGATGCCTCTGGACCAAGACATAATGGAGTGTCTGGCAGAAAAGATAAGCTTTACCTATCACTCATCATGACGTTAGTATTACGGGTCAACCCGATGATGCTACTTAGTATTACGGATACTGATTGAAGCCTGAAGACGGCAATTAAAGATATCGATTGTGTCGCGGTGAAAGCCTCTGTTCATTCTCCCACATAACTTCACTCCTTTTGTGATTGTCGGCCATCTCCGTAGGGCAGAGTTCAAGTACATGGGTTGAGGTAGTTCTAGATGTCCGACTCGGTACGCACTGCACACTTCACTCTTCTGTTTTCCCTCCTACACAACGTTGTCACTCTATATGGTCGATATCTGCAGGCATATCGGCACAGAGATGTCGCCTTTATTGCTTCTTCCAAAAGAGCTGATGTTGCACATCATGTCGTTTTTTGATGTTGAGACTGTCCTCCTCACGCGTCTCATAAGTGCCGGGACTACATCAGCATCCTTGCCTCATCATGTAGGCAGATAGGCACTGCTCTGGTGCCAATGACAAGATCACGAGTGTCATGGCTTACTCTGTTCCACAAGAGCAGAGCTATCCTTCCTTATTCATCATCCGTCCAGTCCCTTGTGGAGCAAAATGACTCGGCGTGCCTGGATTTTTTGCCTTCTCAGGCTATTGTTGAATCAGCAATGATTCACGCCTGTCGTTCGGCTCTAACATGGCCCAGGCCACGCATCAGACAGCCTACCCAGTTACCTACGCCAAGTGACGGCAGTCTCTCCCTGATGTTAATGTGACTATTCTTGGATAGATGGTTACTCTATGGATGCACTGAAGGTCAAATATACTTCTGGGATACCGATCCTGCCAACTCATCGCTGGATGACGGTGGTTCTGCGCCTTGTCAATGTGCAAGTCTGTATTTAGGTTCTCGGAACTGGGCATCTCTAGCTGCATCACTTGATGCATCCCATGAATACATCGTAATCGCGTTGACGCGAGCATCCATGTAGGTGTGCTCTTCATGGAGATGTCAAAACAAATTAATATGTAAGTTTAGACCGTCATTAATACAAATCTATCGCATTTGAATTCGGTATAACCCAAACGCAGTTCTTGACGGCACTACTTTCGAGCTGCTCCACACTTTAGTCGGCCGTGTATCACAACTAGTCAGAATGATACAGCCCGCTATGCAACTCATGGTCTTATCCAGTCCATTTATGGTAGATATCGTCTTTGCACCGACAGGTCGGACAGCCTCCGAGGATAGCAGCGAGATTAGGAAAAAAAGAATATTCCACCAGTTAGCTTGGAAGAAATGGTAAATACGCCATATATCATACCGCCATCGTCTCTCGTGATCAGCTGATATCTCTATAGATCAATAATGTAGTTGATGCACGTATTATGGAAACGTATGTGGTGGTTTCCAAGATGCGATCCATCCGAAGTCCACCCACTCGTGACCGAGATGAATATGAAAGTGCCCTACTGTACTGCCGACTACGGTGTTAGAAATAACTTCCCTCTTGTATCGCTCAATTTTGTGAGCGTCTCGATCTCCGACTATACTGTGGAACAAGAGACCATTTCCTTCAGCTTTTATGGGTATGACTCTCATTGGGGTATCTTCAGGTTTGAAGTACGGATCGTATTGGATGAAGTTTCGACAGACCAGCACTGCCCTCTACTTGATTTGTACTGCGTTGGATTATACCCGTTGTCAGACAGTATTGACAAAGACAGCTGGTCTCTTCTTTCAGCGCGATCAGATATTGCATCAAACTTGCATGCAAACGATTCATCCAGCAGATCGAATCGTAATTCGCCTGCGAGAGCCAGAAATTCTATCGGTCCTACACTGATGGGACTAGGTGCGAATTTTTTTAGATCCGTGGTTGCGATGTCTTTGGGCCCGCAAGGGAAACGTGGTGTGTGGGTGGAGAGAGGGCGATCGAGAACCATTTGCGAGGTCTTTGTTTTGCAGGAAGGAGGAGTCGAAAAGGAGGTGATGATCTCTCGTGAAGCAGTACATTGCGTAGAATCACACGATCCTCAAAGTGAGCGTATGTTTTGGAGGAATGCGTATGATGCTGGCTGAATATGTTCGGCAGAGGTTCTCACACATTGCGCAATCGGCGAGGTCAGCGGTACTTTTATTCGCGGGAACCGGGCAGGAGAGGCCTTCATCCTAGGGATAGACCTCTAGCGTTTTCTTCTGTTTATATTCATAGGGAGTATCTGACAAGGGCCATGACAGGTTTCAGTGATTATATCAAATCCGCTCCGCGCCCATCGGGGATCCTATTTCTGGTCTAATACGCAATGCCCGCCTAGCTCAATCGGATAGAGCGTCAGACTCTTACTCAGGCAGGGTGTATCTGAAGGCTGCGAGTTCGACCCTCGCGGTGGGCTACTTCCATTATTTTTCTGAAGACGTTGCACAATCAGCGAGGTCGGCAGCAATACTGCCCTCGAGAACCGAACTGGACCTTCGTCCTAGGAATATATCTAGCGTTGTCTTCTTTTTGTATCCATGGCGAGAGTCAAGTATCAAGTCCACCCTTTGTTAAGTAAAACTAGGTTTTATACCAACAATGAAGGGATCTAATCAGTTACGACAAACGATCACATGAGACCTAGAGAGGGAGGCGCTAGTGGAATCGCTCACTTCGCGGAACTTCCACTTCGACCGCCTTCCTCTAGGTAAGAGTGTTTTATACGAGAATGGAACTTCCATTGAAAAGCAAAATAGTAGTTCATTGTCGCAACGGATCATCTACTCAGGCATTTTCTGTCAACCCACTCGTACTTTGTCGTACATAGTCAGCAGCTGCGTCAGTGGCCAATACATTGAACCGGGCGTGGGGCAGGCCGCAGCGGCCCTCCTCAAAAGTGACCCGAGAAAAGTCCGCCTTTTCCCCGCCCGGGATTTCCATTTTCTGACAAATGTCTAGTGCCCGCCTAGCTCAATCGGATAGAGCGTCAGACTCTTACTCGGGCAGGGTATATCTGAAGGCTGCGAGTTAGCGGTGGGCTACTGTAGAACCTTTACTGTTCTAATCTTATTCTTCTTTTCCGTTTTCTCCATTCCAGAGTATTTCTCGCTGTGATTTCATTTGAACTCTGCTTTCTATTATTGATATGAATGCAATCTCCACTTCATGGAACGTAATCACCTAGCAATTGCGATTGTCCTTTTGTACTTGATGAGTTCACAATGCGTGATCACAACCCAATGGTACATTCTGACAGATCTATATAGATTTCATATTTTGGGTGTGATGGTGTCTCTGTTTGATTACTTCCCTCTTTCGTACTTTGCCTTCAAATCTTTCACCTCAGCTTCCGCCATCAAAGCTTGTATTCGGTACTCCTCCTTCTCTTTGGCGTTGGTTTCCGCTTTATCCACAGCCTGCCATGCCCTGACTTGAACTTTCTCCACAGCTTCCCGAGCCCATTTTCTTTCTTCTTCGGCTGCGGCTTCAGCCCGTGTAGCTCTTTGTTCAGCTTTCTCCAACTCCCGCATGGCTCTTCGTTCGACAATCTCTTCGTCTCTCTGGGCCTTGAGTTCAGCCTTCTCCAAAGCTTCCCGTGCCAACCTTCTTTCGTCCTTGGCGGCAAGTTCAGCTTTCTCGGCCCTATCTTTCTCATGCTGCAATGATTGCTCCAGGCGTTTCACGTCTCTTTGCAGTGCATCATTGATAGCAAGTGATCTCGTCAACTTCTCCCTCAGTTCCTGAGTCTCTTTCCAAGCTATCCCTGTTGAGAGAAAAAAATTGGTCATTGACTAACATACGAGGAAAGCGAATGGTTTAAACTCACCGGAACTGGCTAAAATTTCAGAGCCATGCCAGGAAGGAGAACTCACACGGCGACGAGTTTCGCCTCAAAGTCAAATAAAGATTTCAAAGAGTGATCATGATCGATGAGATCAACACGCATACCATTATCAGAGTGGCGACTGCTGCTCCGTCGTCCGGACGACGTCGAAGTTCTGCTAGATGGCCGTACTTCAGCTCCGGAGCCCTTGAATAGACCAGAATAACTATGACTTTTGCTCGATTTTGTGGGCGAAGGGACATCACCTGCGACCAAATAAGATTAGAAAAAAAGATATATACAATTCTATTGAACGAAACACATACTCGGCTGAGAGGACAAAGGACTCCTTGGGACGGAGCGCGTGCTCTGTTCAGAGGCCTGTACAGATCCTGGTGTGTTAGGGGCAGGAACTAGTAGAAAGATCAGCACGTTGCAGTCACTGACGATGGCATGAACTTACTTTGTCCGGGCGCTACAACTGAGGTCAAGTCCATGTCTGCACTCCAACTCCCGACAGAACTTGCATATGTAGTATTGCTACTAGGAGGCAGCGGCGGAAGAGAATCATTTGTACTTATGGAGGTGGAGGTGGCGTCTACACTGAGGGACAGCGGGGAACGATTGACGGAGATGTTTTCGTTAGTGCTTCTAGCCGAAGAAACACTCGGGCTCGGGCTACCTGCTAACGAATGACTCTTGTGCATGTATCACAAAATATATGAACCTTACTTGGGGTTACATTTGCGGGCTCAATAGCACTGGCTACAAGACAACGACTTGACAATTCCTTCATAGAAATGAAATAGCTTCAGCTTACTTAGCTCGGGTGGCAATACCGTGTTTCCCTTGAATGAGTCCAGACTCATATCGACACTGCCCTGGAAGGAGGGTGATGCACCATAATTAGCGCTGCTCTGACTCGAATTTGCAGAAGCTAGTTAAATTGAGGATGATAAGTCGCTCCAATGAAATGAAAGAGAACAGCTACGGACGTGACAATGGAATATTGATCACACTTGAATCACGACTTCCACCGGCGTTGGTAGATGGAGTATAGTCCTCGTTGATTGAACCTGATATCTCGTCGAGGTAAGCATGAGCTGGCGGAAGGTCCTCAGAAGAGTCGCTGGAGGTATCATCAGGATTCTGGTCCCAGACAAAAGGTTGCCCCTCTGCATCATCAAAAGAGCTACTGGTATTTTCAGAGGTATTCATGAGAGCTGCAAGAGGCGAGCGACGATTAGGGTTATGAGGAAATCTGCGGAAGCGGGGAACAACTCTCGAGCAGAAAAGATGAGGCGCTTTTATCTTGAGAATAGCCGTGCGTGTTTCTGACATAGAACTCGTGGTCATCATGTTATCTTTTATCGATGGTCTTGTGGATGAAGTTCCTGAAATTTAAAACGCGCGCATAGGTGGCACAACGTGGTCCAGGTTTGGGCTAAATGGACCCTTACGTAGTCACGTGAAGCAACACGCGTTGTCACAATCATCCTCTTGTGACCATCCAAATGATTTGGATCACAACAATGGCATGCCAGTAACAGGCCCCAATGGGAGCAGAGCTGTGTTACATGATAAATGATGCTGAAACATGAGACGGAGCGTCAGAAATGATTTTGTTTCATTTTGTTTCATTTCAGCTAGTCATCATTGACCTTACGACAGAATAGCTCACAGAGCAACTCAACGTATACTACTAGTGTACATCATGGTCACTGATTGGAAGAGGAATGATACTGTTAAACAGACAAAGTCATTGACAATCAGATAGTTGCTTTGGCAATCAGCCATCGAACAAAGAACGAAAGCCACACACATGCTGAAAATGTGGATCAGAGGATTGCCGTTGGAGGAAGGAGTGTGCCTTTGCATGAATCCTTGTCAAGATTGCAAGAAAGTGATGTGACAAGGACGCAATCCTGACTAGCCACCATAGGTAGGCACCTCTCCTTTATTCTTCTATCTGTTTCATTTTGATTGCAGTGAGGGGCGGCTATTTTTGGAAAAAAGAAGAAACGAGTTGTCGCGAAGGCCGTTTTCTACTATCACATCAATGGGCTTAAGAGTCCACCAAGAAGCATGCTGTGTCGTGGCTATGGTGTCCACAGCTTCTCTGAGTCATGAACATCTGGCTGTGCCTCGTTCGTGCCATCTGCTTCCACTTCCATAGCTGACTCTTCTTACAATGAACGGTTCTCGTTCAAGGCATGTCGAAGCAAAAGCTCTGAGGAAACTTATGACGGTCATGAAAGATATATCTATGTATCGTCAGCTCCTACTGTCTCGCGGTTCTGATGCCCAAGCTCTCTTGAACATGTTCCAGGAGGTCTTCATGTCCTGTCTTGCATTACCTCGGTGTGTTTTCTGACTTGATACTTCCAGCTCATGGACAATGGCAGACTCGGAGAGGATCGAAAGAGTCTGATAGCGCCTACTCAACGATTATCAAGGAGCACAGACCTGTATCCATTGGGGTTTCTCATTGAAGGCATAAAGCTGTCGGGAGATATACCGTACGCTGGTGGTGGATTTGCTGACATCTACAAAGGCGAAATTGATGGAGTGACTGTTTGCATGAAATATATCAGGGCATTTGGTCCTGGGAACATCAACCATTTGCAAAGGGTAAATGCTCATGATTAACATTCAGTCACATACCAACAAACTCAAACGATATCTGGAAGGCATATTCTCGGGAGGTCATTATCTGGCGCCAATTGTCCCACCCGAATGTCTTGCCTTTCCTTGGGTTGGGTCGTATACAAGAAAAGCTGTTTCTTGTCTCTCCATGGGTAGAAAATGGGCATATCAATAAATATCTCAAATCAAACCCGACCGCAGATCGGACCCTCCTCGTAAGGTATTATGTCTCTGAAGACTCTTTACGCGCTGATTGGCTGGCAGTGTTTAGACGTTGCTGCGGGTCTAAAGTACCTCCATCAAAATGGTACTGTTCATGGAGACCTCAAGGGGGTGAGCTTCGCATATTTTTCTTTTCAACGTTAGATCTTTGAACTCGACGAAGGTGAATATACTCGTGAACGATTTTGGTCGAGCTTGTGTTGCTGACTTTGGCCTATCCTCTGTGGTCGACCCTTTAACCGACACTTCTCGGATATTAGGTGGGACCATCAACTGGCAGGCTCCCGAGCTCCTCGATGCAATTCATTCAAGATTGCCTGAGAATACTACTGCCAGTGATGTATATGCGTTTGGGTGTGTATGTTATGAGGTTGGAATGTCCACTCTCTCAACATCGTTCTCTCCTGAATATTCTCCAAATACCAGATCTTCACGGGACAATGCCCGTTCCATGAATTTCCGCCTAGGTACCCAAGGATTCCCGAGATGGTGGTGAATGGCAAACGGCCAAGACGGCCAGACCCCTCTCATCCTGCCTGGACACAGTGGGGTCTCACAGAAGCTATTTGGGCACTCATACAAGAATGTTGGCTTCATGACCCTATATCTCGCCCGAAGATCGACAAAATTGTGCGTCGTTTCCGACGCCATGCGCAGGAAGACACGCGTTCAACTGATTCTTGGGTACAAATTGCCGTGACACGTCCCAAACCGGATCAAGTCAGTTTTCTACGAGCGCTGGAAATCATAGACGAGATACTTCGACGTCAAAATCTCAACCACTTGAATGAATTACCCCTGTCTTATGTGCCTCAGCCTAACTCTTTCCGACGCCAAAACAGTCACTGGAATGAACTACCCCCGTCTTATGTCCCTCAGTCCAAACATCCGAATGTCCCTCCTGAACCGCACCGTAGACCGGAGGAACCGTCAGAAAAGGTGCGCTCTGAGCTGGTACTTCGTTCGCAATATGATAGCGCTGACGTTTCATTACAATAGTCTGAGAAGTATGTGTACCTTCTCACTTTCGCTGCGAGCGCTAAAAATACAATCCTTTGCCTGGATTTAGGCACAGGGTTTGTTACCATTTTCAGCCCATGTCCCTTCATCATAAGATCCTTGCAACGGCCATATTCCTGATGTCTGCTATGGTGATAGTAACCATTGTTGTCGCCATTGTGGAGAACACATAGTGAAGTCCGTATAGAACAACACCGCCTGTACACAAGGATTGGAATTTATGCAACACCTGTAAGTGGCGACATGGAAATATTTTAAAAATACCACCATGCCATCTATAAATATGCCGGAATCCTACACCCTCCTGTCAGTCTTATCGTCTCCCCATTCACATAAGCACATTCCAATATCCACCGTACTGTCTTCGCCAATTCCGCTGGCATACCAAAGCGTTTGGGATATAGCACCGCATTGCTGTGCAACGCAGCGTGAACCCTATTCGAAAGCATCCCTATCAGTGGCGTCGTGAATGGGCCAGGTGCGATAGTCACAACGCGAACGTGGTGCCGTGCGAGCTCGCGCGCCATGGGAAGCGTCATTGAACGAACGGCACCCTTCGAAGCGGCATACGCCGTCTGCCCAGGCTGCCCCTCAAACTGAAATGATGGGACGAGCGGTGTGCTCAGAGATGTATTGGGGAGAAGGGGCAGGAGCTCGACGTACAGCGGCTTCGCTTGCAATTAGGATGATAACGCCCCGTTCACCATCGGGCGTGTCTTCCGGCTTGACGCGTACGAGATGCTCGAGCACCAGACGCGTCAGGTTGAAGGATCCTGTGAGGTTCGTGCCCATTGTTAGATCCCACACAGCCGTCCCGTGCGGCCTTCCCTTTGCGTTGATCATCTAATCCGGTCATACAACGCCATAGTGGTGAGGCGCCTCATGCGGATGCCTGAGCAGAATATGAACGACGCACTAGTTCAGTTCGCCCTAGTCCTGCACTATTGATAACACCACCGAGCTCCGCATCCGTCACCTGCGTCCATTCAACGACAGATTTCACAGCATGCTCGATCTGGGCGAGTTCGCGGAGGTCCGTCTGCACGTACATGCATTTCGTGCTGGATTCCAGGACCACTGGGAGTGGGGAAATGTCCACTACGGCAACATACGCGTTTCCCTCGAGGAGATCCTGTACAGTCGCCAGACCAAGTCCAGAGGACCTGTAAAACGCGGAAACCAATGTGTCATAAACGCACTGTGGGGAGGAAATGTGAGAGAAGGAGGAACCCAGTGCTCACCCGCCTGAGACGATGAATGTGCGATTTTCGATCTTCATTCACACTTACTGGCACAGTATATGTATGCGACTGGGTAGGACTTTCGAAGCGGGAACCACGAGATATCGTACTGCCTTGATTCTGCCGCGGATTTCCGACGAACTGTGAAATCGGAGTATAACTGGGAAGGACGTGTATGTCGCAATTGCAGCCCAATTAAAGGAGATCCGACTGAACTTTGATTGCATGACACATATACCGTGCGTAACGGCAGTACTTAGTATGCGGTTGCATAGGTGCTTTTCTTTTTGCCATAGATACTGTTGAAGCCAACGTCAAAGTCCCCCTGACAATGTGATCGAGTTCTGCCGCGCATGTATACCACCTTTATTACCACAGAAGGCGACGTGTCGACCAGCGACGTGTCGTTCAGCTTTGTTGGTTGAGACGCAGACGCTCACAGTCGTCATGAGACCATCGCAAGAGTTTCACCTCCGATAAGGCGTTTTCAAGATGAAACGCTCGGCTGTCAATCCTTGATCGGATCCTTGGGTGTGCTCGGGGAAAATACTGATTTGTATATATAGGGCTTGATTGACGCTGCGCCTCCACAAAAACCGACGAGGATGAAGAGTCAGAATTTGCATTTGCAACTTGCTGGTTGTGTCGGTGATAATGATTGAAGCCAGTAAAATATCGTTCTTCCAAAAATAGTTGATATGCTTTTAGTATACGATACCGTAACAGCATCTGGACGACATCATCAGGATCATTTTATTCAACCATCAACGGCAAGCTGTGAGATGTTCGGCTTCATATGACAGAGGTGTACATGCATGATCGCAAAGAGTACTTACTAGATAAGGATGGGATAAGAGTCGGCAAGAACAGAAAAACATAAACTTACGTTCAATATTACAGCTTTGCTGGCAACCTGCCTGCCCCACTAAGCCTGATTGTCTCACCATTAACATAGGCACAATCTAAAATCCACCTCACAGTTCTCGCAAACTCTGTGGGCTGACCGAAGCGCTGGGGATATACAATACCACTCTCGAGGCTATTCTTTGTTTTTCCGGGCATGCGTACAGTCATGCTGCTCGCAAAAACACCGGGAGCGATAGTAACGACGCGGACGGCGTGCCGTGCAAGATCACGTGCCATGGGAAGGGTCATGGATCGCAAGGCGCCCTTCGTCGCAGAGTAAGCAGTCTGGCCTGGTTGGCCCTCATACTATACGGGTATGCAAGATATATAATCAGGGCATTTGCAAGAGAAGACAAAGCGTACAGCGGCCGCACTAGAGACGAAGATCACCACCCCGCGTTCACCGTCCGGCGTGTCTTCTGGCTTGACCTTCACAAGATGCGGCAGCACCAGCCTTGTGAGGTTGAACGACCCGGTCAAGTTGACCGCGATGGCGAAATCCCACAGGTCCAGATCATGCGGTTCATTCGACGAGTTAAGGATCTTCGCCGCCGTTCCTACACCAGCACAGTTTATGACGCCGCCAAGGGGTTTCTGAGTTTCACTGGTCCATTGAACAGTTGTGTCGACGGCTTCCTGGATCTGCCTTACGTCAGTAATGTCTGTTTGGATATACCGCGTGTGTGAGGCGGGAAGAGAAGCGGATTCCGGTGGTGGAGACCGGTCGAGAATGGAGACGCACGCGTTTGCGGCTAGGAGATCGAGCACGGTGGCCAAGCCCAGCCCAGAGGAGCTGCGAAGAGACGTGAGAAGGTGTGAGAGGGAAAGGGCATACGCGCCACTCACCCGCCAGAGACTATGAATGTACGATTGGCGAGCTTCATCGAGGTTACAGTGGTCTTGCCTTCAAACAAGCTCAAGCCTTGATATCAAATGATATTCCATTTGATTAGCCGGTCCGAATCGCCGCCGGTGGTTGCGCTCCGTGCATTTGCGCAAGTATGGCAATCGCAACACCCATTCAAGTTGCGCCACATGCTTGCTTTAAGATTACAAGAAGTCGATATATGTACTTCGGAACAGTCAAAGGCGATGAAATTTAGCTCGAGCACAGTTGCATTATGTAATGAGTCGTCCGAATGGCGGCCCAGGGACCTGACTGGAATCCAAATTGTCAGAAATTCACGATTCACTGGACATTGAGCACTGAGTCTTCAGGCCACCATCATACACACAATTACACCAAGCTCTTCCATAGCCTCAGGATCAAAAGGATTCCAACACTTGTATTATAGTCACTACTCAGCCGAAGGGGTTTGGAAAACATCTTCCCCGTCCTTCCCACCCTCCGACGAGCCATGCTTTCATCAGCAGCATTGTTCCCGAAGATTGTGCCAGCAAGCAGTTCTTAAACCCGGGTACGTATAACAAACTGCTAAATCACATATGAGTTCGAAGGCAAATTTGGGGAGTACTCCTGTAAAAAGTTGAACTGAGTGAGCTAGTCCATAACTTCTGGACTGCGAAGCAAACTTGGTGTCTTGATTCGCCAACTTGGTCAATAATACCCATGGGCTTAATCAGCGAAACCAGGGCTAAGAATGCAGGAAGAGAGCAGCAAAAGAAAAAAAGACTCATCTCGCAAGTCGAATAGCCCACCGCGAGGGTCGAACTCGCAGCCTTCAGATGACTCTGACGAATTTTACACCCGCCTTAAAAGTCTGACGCTCTGGCCGATTGAGCTAGGCGGGCGGTAAAGCTTATTAAAAAAGAAATAACCATTGGCAACCTTGGTATCTTCGTCAGATCCGTGAGGTCGTTTGGTTTATCCTCGGCTAACCTTCGGCCCGTCGTCGATGGTTCTCCCAAGGCCAGAGTCGAGACATGGTACTAGTAAACGTGATGATCAGGCAAGTACTTTCTGCACATCTACTCCGGGACAAACACAATAAACGCTGTAGATTGAGTATCTCGAGTCGCAGCTGCAAGCCTATAAAGCCAGGACATCACTTCTCCAACAGGAACATCTCGGAGTGCTTGACACCGTCTACGAAATTAGACAAAGGCATCAAGAAGAGCTGGAACAAGCGTGCAATGCCAGGGACCTAGCGTTGTCCAGGTTGAAGATAGCCAAGGACCGTTTGAGGGCGGTGGAGGCGGAAAGAGACGACTATAAGGAAGCCGTACTCCAACTCATTGAAAGAGGTGCCTTGTTTCGTTTGGTATTCTCGTCGAGCATGCGGACTAATCTGGCAGATCGCACCTAGTCGAGCAAAGTCATGGTGACTTCAAACACTGGCCTTACAGCAAGCTCCAGCTCTCGAACTATCTTGGTACGTCTGACCTCTCATGGGAGTATTATCCTCATTGTGTCGTACTCGACAATGAACAGATCCATTACTTAAGAACCAACCTGTGAATGATCGTCAAAGTGACCTTGCGTACTACAATGGACTTATTCACTCCATCAAACGCGAACTCTATCTCGAACGACAGGCGCACTCACTGACGCGCGTACGCGTCGACATTCTCTCAGCGCAAGTCGCGAGACGCGATGCTGCGTTAGAGGACTGGGCCCAACATGCTGATAGTGCTGCGGCCCCTCCATCTGGTGGAATTTTCGTGCATGACAAGGGCAAAGGCAGATCAATCATGCAACGCGATTTGGATCGCTCCGAGATTTTGGCCTCGTTTGACCAGACGGCTGCAAACAACAGGCTTCTGGAGCAGGAAATACATTCACTTCTTCAATACGTACGTCTTCTTTACGATCGACCGAATCTTTGTCGTATCTGAATTAAACAGATGGAGGCAACGAGACAAAATGTGAATCCGCTTGTCCACCGCTCAACGTCTCCGCATAGCGCACCGCTGACATCCTTGCCTCAGTCAACTCACGCTTGTAACGATGAACTTTCTCATCCAGTGCCCTTAACCAATGCTCTAGATCCAGCTCCATCTGATGAAAAATTTGATCGCCCAGTTAGAGTTGTACAACAAGGCCAAAATCCTGTTACGAGCCCTAGGTCCTACATCTCTCCTAGTCCCCACCGGGGCCGCTCGCTGGCTGCATCACATCAAGCGCCGTCCAAACATAAGTCTCGTACACGGTCACAATCTCATCGTCGTCCTTCAGCACAGAGATCATCATCTTCATCCGCCTCCCCCCTAATGAATGTCGTTCAGGACCTCAGCGAACAAATCCGTCTATTGTCAGTTCAGATCGATGGTCTCCATGCCGAGCATGTTGTCCTTTCCCGTTTCATCCAGTCCCAAAGAGAAGAAGTGACGGTCACCCCAGATGTACTCCACGGGGATTCCTCGTTCAATTCTTATGATACAGATGAAGATCCATCTATTGTCGTGCATGCAGGGATTGATTTCGAACACGAAACTGCTGTACCTGGAGAACCCCTCGATGACGTCAAATCAGACCATGGTACTGGCGTAGACGCCGTTCAGGGCGAAGGTGGGGGCGGGGACGTTACGGATGGCGGGGAACGGTCGATGGAGATCGCTACCCCATTGATTTCCACCCTAGTTACTTTCCCCGTTTCATCAGAAGGAGACGATGCACCCCATGATGTCCAGATAGGACAGACTGGAGCAGAAGAAGACCAAAGCCACGACGAAATCAAAATGATTCGCCCGCGTAGGGGCGCCTCCGTATCTCCTCCCGTGCCTCCTTGAAGGACATTGCGGATTCATTCTCACTCTTGGGTGGATCAAGCGCTATCAGAGATATGTTAACACTTTTTCTTGTCCAGAACACTCCCAATTTCACATGTATCAGTATTTCTATCGTCGCCTAGGATCTACCATTTGCTCTACGAATTTTTCTCCGACATGTAGGAAACACGCTATCGTCCTTAAATGTATTGTAGCGATATATATTATTTAGTGTGTATTACTGTTTCATCTTTCAGGTGAGCGTTCTCAATCTCTCATCTAGGCGAGCACTCATATCGTTGGAAATCTCAGACCAATCTCAGCGACGTTTGATTTCTTTGTAATAGAACTCTTTATCTTGTATGGAACCCGATGTCGAGCTCTTTCTCTTCCCACCGTACCACAGCGACATGATGTTCGACTACGTGCTGCAGATTACTCGTTCTACTCGAACTTAAACTGCTTACTGTCATGCCGTTGCACAGACTAGTCATATGGCTATGAGACTGTCCCGAAGTCAATAACATACAGAAAGAATGCGTGAGTGCTGATCCCCGAGCAATGATTTTTCCTTCCTGGCGTGTCGATGTGAAGTGGACATTCCAACGACTTCCTGGTCAACCAATGCATAATCTCTCTATGGTTTGAGACTCCTCTCCCGGTAATAGCATCTGTCACTCGATATTTGACATGGCACGTATATTCCTTCAATTAGTTATAATGTCTATCTGTATCTTAGCTCATCCAGTGTCGCTGAACACCTTATGTTTTCGAGCTATCCGAAGACGCCGAAATTGACGCAATGGCGCTCCTGATGACTGAAGTCGGTACATGCCTCATGAGTCGTATTCCATACGAAAACGATGAGTGGCATCCAGTTACATCAGAAGTATCAGTTCTGCGAGAAATTCCTGTTCTCCCCTCGTTCATTTTATACCCTTGACGGCGACGCGTTTATGGAAGTCCTGAAAACAATTCACGCTGCGGGTGTTCGCCACAGAGATCTTCGTGTTGAGAACCTGGTTATGAGTGACGATGGGACGCCATTCATCATAGACTTCGACCGGGCTGTGTTGAATGCCAGCGAGCAATCGCGAAATCGCGAATTTGAGCACTTGCGTTCAGTTTTGAACGGAAAATACACAGAACCTGGAGTCTCACTTGATACGCCTCGTCCCTATGAAGCTAGACCTGAGTTAGGATTGACTATGCAAAGGGTAAGGATGTCCTGGTTGGAGGCGATATTGAAACAGTGTTGACGTCGAATGGTATAGTTCACGGAATTTTGGGTAGTGGAAGGAAATCTCACATTTCATCCAAGTTTTGGCTTGATGATGAATCTGCGAAGCTTGGCGACTTCCTTTCTAATCAATGTTCGCTGGCAAGTGCATCGTGCATTGGTTTAGCATCTTACTAACTATGTACAATAAACTATCAGTTTCAATGCATGTTTGGTTACAGTTGGTTTTAAGTTAGAGCATCACGAATTGTTCAGACGCGTCATTAGTTCAAAAACAAGTGACATTTCCATGTTATTCTAAGAGGAATTGAAGGAAGAAACCCCTGAACATTTGTCCAAAAAGGATGATAAGCAAGGTTCCGACGATAGCCCACCGCGAGGGTCGAACTCGCAGCCTTCAGATGCCGCTACCTAGGTAAGAGTCTGACGCTCTATCCGATTGAGCTAGGCGGGCGGTAGAGTGGACCCTGTTTCAGTCGAGGTCATGGTGTTTGGAGGGAAACAATGAAGGAAACGGACAGTTGCGGCAACGTCACGTGTCAAACTTGGGAGGAGGCAAGAGTTGGATCATTCCCTGGCGGAACTTCCACTTCGATTGCCTCTACAATGTCTTTATTGTTAAGTTAAGGGGTCTTGGCGCAGCGGTAGCGCGTATGCTTTGCATTCTACTATTGTTAATTGCATAAGGTCGTGGGTTCAAGCCCCACAGGCTCCATTACATGTTGTCCCGTCTTTTTTTCCTCGTCTATAGTAGGTATAGACTCTATACCAAACGATCAATCGTGAAAGTTCTTTAATCGAGAGTGATAGCCAATATTATTGAGCTTCTACGACAAATAGACGCCTTTGACCGTCGTTCGTTGTAATGGTTATTCATTCATCCAATGTCCACCGACCCAATGTGCTGCCTGTTCGTCTGTTCCCTCCCTTCAAACGGCAGAGAGTATCACGTTTGATAGGGCAAAGACTCATATAGGCAGTATTCGTCTTCATGAAACAACTAGTATTAGGTCTAAAGACAGCTGAACAATGCAATCCTCGCCGATGTGTGAAACGTTCGTGAGCACGACGTGGAAGCGGGTATCGTAAATTGACAGGTATCGAACAACCGCGCAAAAAGCCTCGCTGGCTATCAAAAGGGAAGCTAACAGCTAGATGTTCAAAGCGCGAGCAGCGGTCAAGATCGGGGCATTCTTATAGTCATACCATTACCATTCATCATGGCTACAGGCCATATCAATTCGACAGGCACCGAGAGGTGGAGACTGAGAAATCTGCATTTATTTTATCAGTCACAGGAAGCCTTTAAATCTTCGAGACAAATGATTCAAGCAAGGCAGATGGTAGTGATTGGCACTGATTGCCTGGACAGTCTCTGTGAGCCAAAAACGAGACATGAATGACGCGGCAAAACCAAGGACGCGGTGAACGCACGATTGAAATAACATAGAGATAGTCAGGTGTACTCGTTGTCTATGACTGAATAGTCGACGTTCGGACGGTTCCGAACCAGTTCGCTCGAGTCCACGATGCACTCAACACCATGGATTAGAAAAGTACCGCCTTCTTCTCTTCCTTCAGATCGTCTACGCTCCAAGCCTTCACCATCACCCTCCCGTTCAAAAAGCTCTCAATCAAGTCAGGAATCTGCGCTACCCCAAAGCAAAGCGTTGCGGATACTGAACGGGTTACGCGTATCTCTCCAGGACCCTTCAACCATAACAGCACCAGATCCGACTGGAGGCTGCTTTTGTCAAGGTTCGTCATTGTAGATGCTTACGATTTGTCGTGCTGTGAAGTCATATTCTTTAGCGCGTACACATCCTCTTTCGCCATATGTTTCAATATGCACCTCCTGTGCCCTCCCTCTCTGTGATCTTGCAGCACCAGCGTACCTCTGTCCCTCGTGCAAAGAGCCTCTTCTGACTCCGATTCAGCGAAGTACTCTACTTACGCGTATAGAGACAGAGATCGCCGATACCACTCTCAAGGAACAACTTGCCCGCGAACGTGCAGAGGAAGAACGTCGCGCAGCCATAGGCGCCTTTCCAAGCCTCCAAAACTCCAACTCTTCGTACCCTTCACTCCAGCCCTCATCCCATCGTCCGTCACCGCCTCCTGAGCCACAAACGTACAAAGTCCTCTCACTCGGCTCAAAGGCTAAGAGAACCACACTAACGACAACGACGATAAGACCGAAAACATCTGTTACACCCTCTCCTCAAGACTCACGACCGTCATCTCCCCAGCCCATTCGCGAACCACGACCTAATGCCAATTCTGGTAAGGGAAAGGGTAAAGCGCGAGTGGATCCTGCGCGGCCTTGGGCGAATCTTAATGGAGACAGTCCGATATATATACCGCCTGTGCGGTCTGTTGATGAAGTGGAAGCAGACTCTGAAGAGAAAGCTGGAACGCGGAAGCGAAGAAGACGAAAAGGGAAAGGGAAGGAGAAAGAAACAGAAGAGGGAGGAGAAGATGAGAATGTGCAGGCGGAACCAAGTGGTGGTGGTGATCCATCCAGGAGCTGAATGTGTGTTAAGATGAAACCTCTGCACTGCTTCGACTAATCCGTTTTTACCCAGTTCTTCGGTGCATAATGTCATTTTAATCTGTAATAGATGAACCTCTGCATCGTATGACATTTTCGCGTGTCACAGCGCGAAAGTTGAGTGTGAAATCGATACGGGGAGTCATCAGGCTACACCGGACCTCCGAGCCAGAGACTAAACAAAAGTCGGTGTGCGCATAGATCAACACACGAAGAAGTACGGTGCTCAAGTGTTAGATGTTTGTTTCAGACAACTGTTATGCAACTAATCATTCGCCAAGGAGGACTTACTTTATGGTCGCGAAAGCTGGAGACACGTTCACTGCTTTATAATCCCGATCTACGCTCAGTGCCAAGTTTCGCTGATTTTGTTTCTCCTTATCGAACGTATTCGTAGGGGACGCGAATTTTTGTTCTCTCTAGAAATTGTGCCAACGATGGTACAATCACACCCTATCACCACTTGCAGGCTACCCTTGTTTACTGCAGTGTAAATACCTGAGAGTCGGGAACGTTTAATTGGTAACTGCTCACGAAGAGATATAGGTGATCGTAAAGATGACTTTTATTGCTCGGACGGCCGCAGCGGAGCACTGAGCTCGAAGTAACGGAAATGTGGCAGGAACTTCCTGCCGCTGATGCTAGGACGTTCCAGTCCTGCCACGATGATCTTTGTGTCACGCACGGGGAGCATACAAATCTCCTCAAGCGTACCCAGTGTAATTTAAAGGAGCCGGTGGCCTGAAAAAAAGGGAGAGTCAACGGTGATGGCCATGGGGTATGAGCATGTGAGAGACGTCGACAACAAAGCAGAACGCAGAACTGAGCATGGCCAGTAGGAGAGCGTACGTAAGGGCGGGCAAAGCTGCCGAGATCGATGCGATGGAAAGACTTCTTGGTCGCATGAGACGAATCGACGAAGGGGATTTGGATGGAAGTTTCTGTGTTCTTCCAGCGTGTTGACCCTCGCTTCAGAAAATTTTAGTACGAGGAGGAAGTTGGTATATCTTCTATCTCTGACCGCATACATAATCTAAAATTTATCTAGTTAAACCAAGTTTTTTCGGAAGCAATGAAAGAATCCAATCGTTGTGATAAACGGATCACGTGTACACCTGAAGGAGGAGGCGAGAGTGGAACTGATCTACCTTCCTCCACTCAACTACCTACCTCTAGGTGACGACCAATGGTGTCAGGAGGAACTTCCACTGACAACAAATAATCGCCTAGACTTAGTCGCGACGTACTTTGTGGTTAATAACACAATGTAAATTTACGGGCGACTCTGCACCCGCTCAAAACGAAATGCAAAAGATCAATAAGGACTATAGCCCACCGCGAGGGTCGAACTCGCAGCCTTCAGATACCCAGCCTGCAAACATAAGAGTCTGACGCTCTATCCGATTGAGCTAGGCGGGCTGTGCTTGCGACTACAAGTAGGACTCTGGGGCCTGAATGGAACTAATCGGGTGGTAAGAGTCAGCTCTTGTGCACTGGAAGCATGGGAGTTCCTACATCAGCACTTTCCTTCTCTTGTATCAGCATCTTTGCCATTCTGGGATATACTCTTTACCTTAGGAATCTTTTCCTGCATCTGGAAACATGTTCTCGTCCTTGGACGTTTTGTTTGCGGTCTGCATCAACGCCTCATCCTTCAGATGAGTGCTCTCAAACCTCATATCTAGGCGAGTACTATTATCGTTGGATATTACAGACCAACCTTAGTGATGTGTAATTCCTTCATAATAATACATTGAACTCTTTTCCTTCTATCACGGCGACCTCAATCTGAAACTGCGTAATGTCATGCCCGTCCGCGGACGTGGCTGGCAACTGTTGTAAAACTGATTTGCAAAGGTCCAGATGCGTGTCATATGTAATAACTTCAGATACAACAGTTTTTTCATTGTACTGACAGTTCAATCACCAGTATACAATTTCTCTCAGTGCTGATCACAGTATCATCGTCTCGATGTGAGTGGTTTGCCAATAACAGCGGTCTTCGGCTTCAATATGGTTTTGATAGATAATCAGTCGTAGAGACTCAATCCAAGGACAGAGAGAACTTGAAAAAATTGGTTGAATGATCTCAAGGACCGGAGCTCTCCTGTGAATAACCATTATTATAAAGTAGTATGTCTTCGAATCTTGTATCAAATGAAGCTCGTCCTCCTCCTCCGCTAACCACCAATGGAGTCGATCCCGACGTCGTTTCGACCTTCCGAGTGCCAGTGCTGGGAGGAGATACGGCGAGTCTCGTGACATTGTTACGAATCAGACAACACGTGTTCTGGGATGACAGTGGCCGTAGGATTCGATTTACGACTTCGCAAGGTCATAGGCGACCTTTTCCTCTTGTCCTGGGTATCTATCCACCGTGATTGATTTCGGTGCGCGTTGTATAGGTACCTTGGAGATAAGATTTAAGCACAGTTACTTCTCCGCCATACATTGGGTCAAAACAAAAGTTTTTGCGAAGGAATCTAATCAGTTGCGACAGATGCTAATCACGTGGGGGCACCTAGAGAGGAGGCTCGAGTGGAATAGTTCCCGTTGCGGAACTTCCATCTCGAACGCGTTCCTCTAGGTAAGGATACATTGGGTCAAAGGAACTTCCACTGATGAACGGGATTGTAGTCTGACGCAACGGATTATCTACTCTACGTACTTCGCTTTGTCTACCCACCACTCCGCTCCCTAATACATCAACCGGGCGTGGGAAAGGCTGCAACATGTTAGAATCCTATACTGTAACACCTGTAGTGATGTCGTAAGTACAATCTAATAGGTACGGTTAGTGAGTAGTCTAAAAGGTGTAGTAACAATGGAACTCACCCTCAGTCGTGTATAAATGACTGAGGGCATCGTAACGTAAGTAATGGTATATATATATGTATGTGTATCAGGGTCAATATGTGTGAATGAACAATGGGGGAACATAAGTGAAAGAGACTCTGTGGCCACTGGCCAGACAAAGCATGCAAGGTTGATGGTGGCAACAATGGGGTTCCAACACAACAGCCCTCCTGAACCAGACCCGGCATTACTCCCTTGGAGATAAGATCCAAGCACAGTCACTTCTCCGCCATGGGATGTGACACGGAGCACAGGATTTCACTGCCCGCCTAGCTCAATCGGCCAGAGCGTCAGACTTTTAAGGCGGA